CAAAATGAATCAAATTAAAGAATTAAATGTTTATAAATTTTATTTTATCTCCCAAAGTGAAATTTATTAAGTAAATTTTGGCTACCTTTCTGATATAAAATACTCTTTGCTAAGGTTTAAAAAAGTATCGTTCGTTTTTAGACGGAGCATAATAAGCCGTGCATTTTATTTTACATTACCGCACGCGTGTATAATGTGATAGATTATGATATTGAAATTGGTGCAATAAGAGACGCTTTACGAGCAAATGTGTTATAAAGTATATTAAGAAGTTTTGAAGTACCACTACCTTACATATATTGGAAGTGTTGTTTTTCAGTCGGTAAGTGTTGATAAGTATAATATGAAATTTGTTCTCCACGGGATATATGTTTGAGCGGCATATCTTTCAGCTGCTTCAAGCTATCTTTGCCACTGGACTCATTTATACATATATAATGACTTAAAAGGTTATAGAAGTAAACTTTTGATACAAGTTACGCAATAATAAAGGATGTACCATGTATAATAACGTGATAACTTAAATAGGTCAAATTTCCGCCAATAGACTACCATAATAAAATTATATTATTTATTCAACATTTTTTTTTATCAAAACTTAAGTAGCTCATTTAAAGTTAAGGAAATAATTAAGACTATTTTTACCGAAAAATCCAAACAAAACAAACGGCTATCGAACAAATTCCAAAGAAATTTCAATATACCATGGAAAAGAAAACTTGGCAATTTGTGAAAAGACTTCCCCATGAGCGAGCGTCAATTCGATGCAAAATCCAGTTCCAACAACATAAGCTTACGGTACACGGAATAAATAGATCATAAAATTTTATTGTTCGAAGTTGGCGCCACTTCGTTATGATAATCAGGGCCTCCTCTATTTATGCTCGTGAATACACAAAATTCGAAATTGTACACAAAACTGCTTTCAGTGTAAACTTTGATGTAATTTTAACTGCCATTTAAAATGTTTACTGTTCGAATAATACCGAAATGAACATCCAAAACATTTGCACAAAATGCTAATTGTGGTAGACACAATTTCTCTTAGTATTGCAGATATACATACCATAAATGAACTCTAACATTACAGATAAGGCGACGCTACAAAGATGGTAGATACAAGTTGTAAGACCCGGGTGACCTAGGAGTGTCTTCTGAATCCTAGGTGATTCACGTTTCTGAGCAGAAAAAATGACATTTAGTAATAAGCGAGGCTTAACAGCAGAAAGGGCAAAAAGAAAAAAGATAAAAAACATAAGAATTAAAAGATAGGGCCTCTTCGCAAACTATTGTAAGCTTATCGATTGTTAGTAAAGTTAATAGATACCAAATATGATATCATTGACGGCTATTTTAATAAGTTTCCTCTTAAAAAAACTGCAACAACAGGTCTAGTTTTCCAAAATCATATGTTTTTACTCACTTTAGGCTGTACCATAAGTACATGTTCTAAAATGATTGAGAAATTTTATACTTTATAAAAACTTGAGATGTTATTGGCTGAAGATTTATTGAGGATATTTTAACTTCAAACGATAATTGTTTAAATTATAAAACAAACAACGTAATCCCTCGTTTCAAATAGGGCTTTTATCTATGTAAACATTTTCCGCGCACAATATTAATTTTGAAGCACTCTTGAACCTGTTCCAAATTGCAAAATAAAATTTAATTTTCTATGAAATCTTGACTATTTGGGCCTTTTTTGGGCCCTAACGCAAAAACACAAATTTGCCATAGCCCATTCAAGAGTGCTTTATTAATTCCTCTAGGGTTCTTTATCAAAATTTTAAGCCCCTTGCTAGAATGTTTTTGTATACTACTAAAATTGCAATGGGTGCAAAAATACCCGGATTTAGTCATTGGAATAAATTATAATAATGATATCAGACAATTTTTATTTAATTATATTCCTACTTTTTTTTTTTTTAATAATCACAAATAACTCTTTGATTAGGCATTTTATTTATCCTTTTTACTTTGAAAGAACATAATTATAAAATTTTGAAAACAAAATAAGATTTTCCTTCTAGAGGAGGAGACTCATCTACTTCCATCTACAACGGAGCTTCTAATATATTAGAAATTTTATCATCGCTCTGTAGATTTTTCTGGATTAACTCACCCACGTCAGACTTTTTGTACGACTGATAATCGCGCGGATTTGATTTTGTATATGACCTATTTTGTGTAGGACGGGAAATGCAACGCATTATTGCAATGAGTACGTTATATTTTTCTCCTACAAAAGTCTGTTACCGATATGGGGGCACGGCACCCTTAGATGTTTATCATTCCATCCGATGCACCGGACGGTATGATGGCCGTTAACGTTCTCACGAGCACTGGTAGGAGCCGGACGAGAGTTTCGATAATACCCTCTGTGTGTCGGTACTACTACCGTAAGGTCAATTACCTTAGGAAGCTGTCAATCACCTGCTTAGGCGGGAACATTTGAAATGATCTTGTAGAGCGTTTTAAACCCGCGCGAGGACCGAACAATAAATTTTCAAATGAATTATTGTTAGTTATTATTCTTATTACTCACGTCGCGCATGTGTAAAGCTTATTTGTTCTGCAAATCAGTAACTACGAGTACAATAGATATTTTAAAATAGAAATCAAAAGGAAAAAATGTGGTAAAATACAATAGCCTACTCAAATCTCTAGATTGAGTAGATGATGTAATTTAAAAAACACTCTAATCAGAGGATACGTTACAATACCTGCTGATTTTTTGGAAATCAATCAATATCATAGTTTTGCTTTAAAAAAAATTGATTCATTATATTTTTTTAATTTTAATACTAAATTTAACCCATTTAAATGGTAAATTTTGATAACTCATATTTTATATTCTTTATTAATAATCAAATAATATAGTGGATATTTCCTTGTTAAAAGACAATGTTTTTCTCCCTCCCTAACACATTTTGAAACCCTTATTTACAGTCCCAAAGGTAGCATTCCTCAAAACCTTTATACTAACTAGACCATAAATGTAATTTACTGTTTAAATTTCATTGTTCTGGCTGCAAAGTCAAGTAATTTACCTAAGAAAGTTAGGGCATAGCCAAATTTCCGCTCGAATAGGAGCGACCGTCTGGGAAAGAAACCTGCACCTTTTTTTCTATATGAATTCGCACGGCTTGAGCATTTAGCCAAAGTCAAGTGTTAAAATGTTTACAAATACCATAGCACTCGTGGTCAAAGTAATAAATCAAGTCTAAGTAAGTGGCAGTCAAGTCAATCCCCCTTTCCCTATGTTTCAGTAAAAGTGTGGGGATTTACTGGAACCTCCCCGTGGACTTCTTGAGGGAACGTCGAAAGACACTTTCCGCTGTTTTGTTTCACTTGGCAACACTTGTGCATATTCCCGAACATTTAGTGGTTAATAATCCACCATTATTAAACACTAACATCCGCTACAACACAATTTTTAACAAGAAAAACAAAACTGCTAAACTGACGCTTCCCGATCCCGCCAAAAAGTCCAAACTTCCACCTTAAAGAAGATCATAGTAAAATAACACTATCTTTTGATGGTGTTGTGTTTTTTTTATATATAGATAAGACAAATGACACCACCCCACCTTATCTTAAGTGAAGGTGAAGTCCAGACGCGAAGATAGCTGATACAGCAGTTCTACCTGCCACACCAGCCATCCTCACCCTGCCGGCCTGCATGTTGCTTCTTCACGCCTCTCTTAAAGGATCCCAGGTTGTAAGAGGGAGGGAACACGTGAGCGGGCAGAGCATTCCATTTACGGATAGTGCTTTGTCGCACTATCCGTAAATGGAATGAGTCACCAAATTTCTTTGTAGGCGTTGGAATTGTGGCCACAGTTAGACGGTGATAACGTAGGCCAGCGCGCGTGGTCCTCTGAAGGAAAGTTTTTGTCGGTGAGTACGGTTCCAGGGCTCCACGGGATAAGGGCATAAGTTCAGTGTAGGCAACGGTGAGAGTGATATCGATTGGTGTCGCAAGCGTCTACAGGCTATGGGCCGCTTACCATCAGGCGGGCCATAAGGTTGTTTGCCACCCTTTTATCATAAAGAAATCTTTATTTTTGTGTAAACAAAACACTATTATGAAATGGGTGGCAAACAAACTTGTGCCCACTTGATGGTATACATGCGCTGTTGCATTTGTAATAACACTTTTTAATTTATTATCATCAGAGGCTTATTAATGACCCAACTGCTGGGGCACAGGCCTTGGATGGAAAAGAGAGATTTGGCCATGACCCATCACGCGGGCCCAGTGCGGATTGGCGGGTGCTAACGACTGCAGATGCAGAAGGGACCAACGGCTTAACGTGCCGAAGCACAGAGGAACTAGCGATAGAAGATTTTTGGTCACCCATCCAATGACCGACCACTGCGAAAGTTGCTTTACTTCTACGATCGCAGCCGTAGGCATTAACCACCTGCGCTATCGAGCTCCTCTATATCTTATACTAGAGAATATTATAATTATATCTTATATCATTATCAGCCTATTAATGTCCCCACTGCTGGGGCACAGGCCTTCCCTATGGATGGAATAGGGAGATTGGGCCATGACCCACCACGCGGGCCCAGTGCGGATTGGTGGGTGCTAACAACTGCAGATGCAGCCGGGACCAACGGCTTAACGTGCCTTCCGAAGCACGGAGGAGCTCGAGTTAGTAATTTTTGATCACCCATCCAATGACCGACCACTGCTAAAGTCGCTTAAGTTCAACGATCGCAGCCGAACGCGCTAACCACTTGCGCCATCGAGCTCATCATTATATATTATATCTTATAAGATATAATTTATTATATATCACTGTAACTTTTCTTTAATATTTTCATGTTGGATGCATCAGGAAGTTACTCCACTAGATGTGTGTAAAATAATTCAGGAGAAACTAAGAATCTTTGAAATTCTATAAACATATCCAATACAAATATTTTATCAATTTCATGATAATATGGATGAAAATCGAGGGTTAAAATAAGCAACAAAATTATGAAAAAGTATCAATTTATTGTTTTCACCCCTTCAATAGAATGAGTAACATCCAAATTTTAAACATATTTACAATACACATTAGGTAAATAAAATGAGGTTTTAATGAATAAACAACTGTTTATACAGATATCTTTGGTTTATTATCACTGTTTCATTATGAATAAATTAAATCATAAAATTAACCACAACTATGGTATCTCTACAGAGTCTTGAAAATTAATACGAACTTTCTTAGCCCTTTGGCTATATGAATATAGCTATTTGGCTATATTGATGAATATTCATCAAATAAGTTTTGACAATGCCGATTAAAAAGAATGCGAATTAACATCTAAAATTAGATCACTTAAGTAAATAACTTTACAAAAGGTTAGGCATAATTAAGCATACATATTTTTGAACAGTAAAATATTGTACTTATCTTATGCTACGAAAATTATAGTAAAATAACAATGAGCATCAACCAGAACGAATAATTTAATAAAATTTAATACTCAATTATACTATGGCAAGAGCAAACTATGGAAATTAAATTACTTTCCCATTCAACTGATGGACAGGTTCATATGCTACGAATCGAAAAATTAACTCGTGGCTGTATTTAATTAAAACCTGGCCTTGTTTTTTGAGTTTATCTACTGAAGCAGTGCACATATGAAGTGTAAGTCTTTATTTTTAATAATTTAACGCTTGAATTGTCATTGTTTTGAAATCGTGTAGAAGTGATATTCAAAGATGATTCAGGAAGGTACAAATAATAATTTGTGAATCTAATGAGCTTTGAACGTCTTGTAACTTTATTACAACTAGTTAACTTAGCAGACTACAAAGTTTACTTAGGATTATTTACATATTATTCGTAACACCCTATTTACATTAGACTAAAATTGGGTCCATATCATTTAAAAATAGGTAATCACTAAAAGACTATCGGCGGTACTTCGAAATGTTAGTTAAATTTAAATTTAATCCTTCAGCAAGTGACATGTTGTCTTAGGCCAAATACACTGGATGCGAGTTAGTCGTACGTAACAAGAAGTTCTAAGGTCCGAAAACAATCTAAACTTGTTGGATTATAAAACACTTACGTGCGTATGATAAAGAAAAAAATATTTACTTAATTTATGAGCATAAATGTTTGTGGGACCAAAGTGGGATTCAAATTTCCACTTACGTAATCAACACCGCAAGGTATGACGCAAATACTACTTAAATATATTTCATGCACTCATTCGCTTCTGCGACAGCGAAGACGCCGCCATTGCAGTCTCAGAGTTAAAAGAGAATTTTAAACGCACGAGATTATTAAACGCATTCAAACCAAAGTTGACTTCACGTACGTGATATCACCGGAATACTACGTATTTGACGGAGAAAAACGTATTAAGTGTCAATCAATTCGTACGACCACGATCATGCATTAACGTACGATACAAATCCAAAGGGAGCACGACCTTATTCAGTTGTCTTCGCAAGAAAGTAACAGCAGTAGCTCAAATCAAACTTATAACTCAATTGACATTTCCAAGTACAACCGTATCACTAATTTTACGATCCTAAAGTCTTTGAAAGTAGAAAATGCTTTCATTCTTAAATTTATCACTAGACACAAAACAAACTCATTCATCAATACTGATTTCAAACAATAAGAACTTAACCGGAGCATGATTCAGATCTTATTTACGTCGTGCCAAAGCGCTTCAGTTGCTACAAAATAATCACAATGGCTACCAAAGTCATCCACGTGCAAGATCTTAATGTTGAACTTAAGGATGTTTTGTAATATTTAACTTCATCTTGTGTAGGGGGTGAATAAGAAGCCTCATAACTAAGTTTATTCGGGCATGGGAGCATTTCAGACGGTATTTCCAATAGTTTCCTCCTATACTCAATTTTAGAACTATCGAATTCAGTATCCTGATCCTGCATGGTGTCATCGTAAGTTTTGTCCTCATCAAAGTCCTCTTCGTTTTCGTAATCTTTTTTGTATACAAGCGGGTTGGTCTTTTGGGGAACTTCAACTTTTTCTATTTTCAACCCGATGTTGTTTTTGAATTTGTTATCCATGATGCAAACTAGCCGATTAAATGATACTTTGATACGTTTGCTTTTGGTTTCATTCTTCAGCTTATGCAGCCAAGCCAAACGACAGTCGCAGCTCAGTCTATTACCTGATAATAATAAAAAAAACAATCATTAGTAACTACAAATACATTTTTAACTAACAATAACAGTTTCCGTTAGAATTGGAGCATCGGTCTGGGGAAGTAACCTTCACCTTCAGATTTAGATTTATTTATTTGAAAGAAAAGTGGTACAGAAGGTGTTACATTATTAGTTGAGACACGCACAATTTACCAGAAACTGGCATACAAATTTTATAAATATCTTTACAAATAAAAGTGCCCTATCTATAAGCCGTCTAATGCAAGGGGAAAAAACATAACCAATTACTGCCCTCTTTTACATAAATCCATAAACTCCTCAACAGAATAAACAGTTCCCAATCAAACAAGTTTTAAGTGTCCTCTTGAACGTATTTATAGGCAAAATCTTGAGATAATCCAGCAAACTGCTATAACTACAACTATATGTATTTATAGCATACAATACGTATTTCTATGGTACAGAGACGTAGTTTTTTGAGGAAGAACCGGAATATTAGGGTATTTAGTGTTAAAAATAAAGTAGTATTTTTTCTTTGTAAATAACTCGGGGTTAGTTTTGGTAAGTTTGAGAATATTTTCATATAAATTTGTTATTTCTATACATTGCGTTCTATTAGTTTAATATGAAAACAACCATTCATTTGCCTTACCTTTTAATGCAACATAACTCACATTTACAAAGTAGGATATCATATGGTACGAGATCAAAATTACTCCTGTCGAAAAATACACACGTAACTGGCCTTCAATTATCCATATTGATTTGCACTGTATTGACTAACGAGAATACAGCCAGCGATTTTGACTTGCCTTTTTGAAATCTATATTGACAAGATATAATCAATGCAAAATTTATAAATTGAATTAGTCGTTTATGCATTATGCTTTCAAAAATCTTGTTTTTTTTTATTATTTGTGATATAGGCTTGTTGTTATCTATTTATCTCTTGTTCCTTTTTTGTGTTTAGGCTTAATCACGGCGACTGTCTTGAGTGTGTAAGGAAAAACACCAGTAGCAAAAAGCTAAGTTAATTAAGTGACACTGTACAGGAGCAATTCCTATCTTACACGAATTAATTATGCTAGTCTGTATTCCCATCAATCATCAAATCCCGTCAAGTTAGTGGACTTAAGTGATTTCATTGTGTTTATTATCGCATCCTCATTAGTCGGATATAAAAATAAGCTTGCATGATTAGATTTAATTTGATTATCATTTTTAATTACAGACTAATTATTATAATTTGGTATATTATTTTAATAATTATTAAAAGCATTTGCTTTGCCAATGGGCTCACATTTACCTTCATTATCAACTAATACATAATCAATATTTCCATTCATGAATTTCAAACGAGGCTTAATTTTAACATCCCATGAAGCTTTGCATTTATTTTTTGAATTCATAAAATATTTACTATTTGCCAGTTTTTAAGCTTTATTTATACAAGATCTCAGAATTTTGAATACTTTAGAAATCTATTATTAGAAGTAGAGTGTTTATAGCAAGTAGGTTCCCTTTTATTTTAGTTGATTGTTTTATACCACTGGCCTTTAATTAATACTCCCATTGGAAGATAATTTCATCCTAATTTTATATATTGGGAAATAAAGATCATAAAGTAGTTTAAACATGTCAAAAAAGGTTATTAATTGTTCTTTATCCATGTTTGGTTTTGTGTTTACGTTAGCCCATCTCAGACTGCTTAAATATTTACAGAACTTGGATACGTTTTCGGCGTCTCTTCTGTTACAGTAATAGAATTTAGGGTATCTGGGAAAATTTGGCGATTTGATCAGACAAGAATGGAATATAGATTCCTTACATTGATTCCTGATATTGGTGGGCTCCACGGAGTAGCTGATTGGGTCGAGGTAGGCAACGGTGCAAGTGATATTTTTGGCATCGTAAGCTTCTACAAGCTATAATAGCCGCTTACCATCAGGCAGGATCTACGCTTGTTTGCCACCCTTTTAATATAAAATAAAAACAATAACTATGGTCAACACAAAACCGAAACATGGACGTGTTACTAGTATTAATTTTACCATCGGCAAAGAATATAAATCAAGTAATTAATAAAATTGATTCTAAATTTATCCTTACAATGTCAGGTACACAGTAATTAATTAAGTCAGTTTAAATAATAATAAACATTTCTGCGAAATTTGCTATCCGTGACCAATCAATGCATATACTACAGATATTTATCTACAAGCAATTTAATAAGATTACTCTCGCTGCAATAAGCAAACCGCAAAACCTAATTAACACTACCAACACAGAGCCTATTAAATCATAGCCAACAATACAAACAGTGGAGAGCAGTTTGTTGATTATATAGCGAAATATTGTAACTATTTTAAAGCCTGCCTTGTGTCATAAATGTTTTTTTTTATAGATACGTTCGACAAATGACTCCACCCCACCTGATGTTAAGTGAAGGTGAAGTCCAGACGCGAAGATAGCTGATACAGCAGTTCTACCTGCCACACCAGCCATCCTCACCCTGCCAGCCTGCATGTTGCTCCTTCACGCCTCTTTTAAAGGATCCCAGGTTGTAAGAGGGAGGGGGCAGAGCATTCCATTTACGGATAGTGCGACAAAGAAATGAGTCACCAAATTTCTTAGTACGCGTTGGAATTGTGGCCACAGTTAGACGGTGACAACGTAGAAGTAGTTGAAATTTTGAGTTTGTTATAAAAAACTGCGATTGCAACGTATAACTATAACATCATGCTATGAAAAAAAGTTTTTCTTACAATGCATATGGCGGACTTAATGCCAGTAGTGCATTCTCTACCAATCAACCAGAAAGTACGTGCAGAATCAAGTAAACGGCAGACAATTAAAGGAAAGAGCATCAAACAAAGAGAAAAGCAAAATAATATAGCATTTAATACATACATATAATATAAATACATAAATAAATATATAAATACAAATCTATCTATAATATAGTATCCAATTATAGTATCCTGATTCAACTTAAGCACTTTGCGATGAAATATACAATGAAACTAAAACTAGGTACGTATGGAAGCATTAATCCGCTAATGTCCTTTACGATCAATTACATTTACTCTTATAACCGTATTATTAGTTTCGGTTGGTTTTATACCGCGTCCACCCTGCCTTATAGGGTTCGTTGGGTTCCACCATTAAGGAAAATTGACCCCTATTAACATTTAATGGCATGAAAATAATTGCTATAATTGCTTGATAATCGCTTGTTACGGGACCGTAGTATTTGATCAATTTTACAAAGTGATGACAATTCAACATAACAATGTTAGAAATTAAACATCGAAGATATGCTACAACCTTTGATTATTTATTCCCTAGATAGAGTGTGGCAGCACAGATGCGTTGAAAAATAATATCGCCCACCTGGTGGGGTTGCAGGCGTTTCCCGTCACTTAGTGCAAACGCTGAGCGATACGCAGGTCGATTACCGAGTTTCATGTTGCTATTAATGTCGCTCCATCTTGAAGTTTTCAAAGTAATGTCAGTGTCTCATTACAAAATTCCCCCAAAAAAGTAAATATGGAGGTCCAAAAATTAAGAAAAGTTTCTATTAAAAAAATATTGATGAAGAACAAGTTGTAATTTTGTATTAATTTGTATTTGTGAAGTCTGTAATTTCTACCAGTTTTCAGGGGCTTGAAAAATGTATTTTTTTTTGAAAGTATAAATAAGTTATTTGAAAGTTCTGAAAAATGTATGAGACTAAAGGGAAAATATTTTGAAAAGGATAAATGAGTGACGTCATGTTTTGGTAAAAAAGTCAAGGTTTGGTTTAAGAATTGACGTCACGAGCTCCCACTCCCAATCTTTGACGCGCGTTATATTTGTCACTTATTGATTGACTGATAAAAGAAAAAATAAGTGTCCATTATTTATTTTAATCTAACTTCCGGACTCATTAGAATTTTGTTTACTTTACCCCGTCATCAGCCCTATTAATGCTATGTTGGTGATATGCTTATAATTAGAGATGAAAATTAATGACCCAATAATAAATATAAAAATAGAGACTAATAATTGTATTGTTTTTTTAAATATTGGTCTTAGCGACTTGCAAAATTTATTTTATCATTGTTTGTAATGTACCTGTAAGTAGCATTAGTGATTTTAAATTAAGTCGGACCCATAAGTTACAAATTTACTTAGACTATTCTACAATGTATCGATCTTTTCAGATAAGCTAGTTAATATTGCTTTCAAGTTACACGTTGCATCGATTGTAACAATAGGTCTTGCCATCTACAGCACCACATGAATTCAATCGGCTATTTGCCCAACATTAGATTGAATGCCAATGCCAAGGAGATAGAAGTGAAAATTACTCTATGAGTGCAACAAGATACAAATATTTTATGAAATTTGCGCAAAGTTCCTAAGCTCATTATCTCAATCTTATCAAATATAGATATTATATATATTTATCAGACATTTAGAAAATTACATGTCAAAGTACTTCTCTTGTCTCAACAAAACACTCAAATCAACTGAACATGAAAGATAAATGAGAAACAAAGTTTTGAACTCACCATCGAGGGAGATTAAAGCATAATTCATCTTCATGTTTTCCAAAATGTCTTGAACCGCCTCCACTCGCAATGTCTCCAAGTTGTTATTTCTTAAGTCCAAAAAATTTAACTTGAGATTTTCATTGAACACGCCATCATCTAGTGCCGACAACTTATTATCGACTAAAGAAAGTTTCCTCAATTGGTTTAGGCCTCCAAAGGCTCGTTCGGATATATATTCTATTTCATTACCGTCCAGGTAAAGTTCTTGAAGACTCCAAAGTTCCGCTAACGCCAGGTCCCCTATCATATCTAATTTGTTGTTTCTCATATCTAACGTAATCAAATTAGACAGTCCTTGGAAGTTCTCTTTAACGACAACAGTCAGCAGATTGTTGTCAAGATCTAATCTTATTAAATTGCTCAGGTGCTTGAAACAACCATCGTGCAAAACTGTTATTGTATTCTTTGACAAATACAACCTTTGCAAATTTGGAAGGACATAAAATACGTCGGCATTCAATTCCGATATCTGATTTTCCACTAAGCTGACGTTTGACAGCATTATCAGATGAGCAAACGCCATCTTTTCGAGCTTCGCTATTTTGTTCTTCGGCAAAGTGATTTCTCTGAGTGTAGTCGAGTTGGTGAATGCAAACGAGGGTATACTAAAAATATTCGCATACTGAATGTTTATGTATTGAAGATGTTCCAGGCGGACTATCACTTTTGCTGGAATATAGGTAAGACCACCGTCGGCGCGCACGTTGAAAGTCAACTTTTCTATTTTCGGTTGTGAATAAAAATTTGACCAAAAGGGATCGTCTTCAGCGATGCCACCGTTGAAAACCCAACAATCCGCTTTTGTGGCGGTTTTTATCTTTATGCTCTCACAGTAGCAATGTACTTTAGACACTCTATCTTGAATATCGCAAATGTTGACGTAGTGCGAGTAGCTTTTGTCATTTTTCCAGCGTCTTTTATCATTTTGTCGACTCTCCGTGACGTTTATTTCTACAGTCGCGAACGCGATCATTAGGATCAGATATTTAAGGTCCATTTTTGTTCTCTTTCACATTGAAGCGATTTTTATCTGTAACAAAAGAAAGGCGTTTAGTAAGAGTTCCTTTGTTTTATTTTTATCCAAAGCCGAGATCCGTGCATTAGCGAACTTTTCTGATTAGATTGTATTGAAGTCAAACAGTAAGGTGCTATTACAAAGGACGCTAATTGACTCTCCATTGACTGTTCGCTGGATTGGAATAGCATTATGCCGAAGTAAAGTCGCCCTAAATAATTTCTAAGGAATCCTGTTGAACCAATGATTCCACTCTGTAATTAAGCTTTAAAAATTTATGTTAACCTAAATTGTCCAATATGTTTCGTAAAATACTCAAAAAATGGAATAAAGTATAAAATATGGTTTGTTTCGATGAAATAAACCATTGAAGTATAGCATTACCATTGAGATAGATATACATATTGTAGGGCCGTCCTTTATTAATAAACGAAGAATAAACTTGGACCATTTTATCACATATAATTTTCAGCGAGTGATGTAATAACTTAATACGTAACTGCTCAAGCTTATTTTTGATTTATCATTTTATCATTTATGTCTCAAGTCGAAAGTCTTCGACCATTGCGTCCTCCCAGTTATGACATACGGCGCCGAGACGTGGACACTCACGCCTGGACGGGACCACCAGTTTAAAGTCGCTCAGAGAGCTATGGAAAGGGCTATGCTTGGAGTATCCCTGAAGGACCGCATCAGAAATGATGTAATCCGACAGAGAACCAAAGTCACCGACATAGCCCACCGAATTAGCAAACTGAAGTGGCTGTGGGCTGATCACATTAGCCGCAGAACTGATGGCCGTTGGAGCCGGAAAGTTCTTGAGTGGAGACCACGACTCGGTAAACGTAGTGTAAGACGCCCTGAGACAAGATGAGATGATGATTTTCGTAGGCTGGCTGGAGTGGGCTGGATGAGAGTAGCAGAAAATCGGGAGCAGTGGCGTACATTAGGGGAGACCTATGTCCAGCAGTGGACGAACATGGGTTGATGATGATGATGATCATGAATAAAAGGGTTTGTTGAATAAGAAGTACATACTTATATAAATAGAAATATGTAGATACAATACAGTGTTTTATGTTTTTTTTCATCTAATTAGTGTGACGAATACACACGACAATTTAAAAAACACTTAAATATGTTTGTCAATTGTTATTTATCTCATTGTATAAAGTAAGATCTTAACGTCCAAGTTTAAATTGGTTTAATACTCCTTTCGTCCTGCCTGCATCTCCAAGAGTTGAATCCATTAAAGCTAATTTAATGCTTTATTAAGACATCACTTAACAACTTCGTTTGAAGTCCGCTGCTTATAAAGTTAGGCACGTGCATCAATTAATTTGATGTTTTTTAGGTTACTTTTTAAGATTAAACTATACTCTATTCAGCTCGCTCTGAGACAAAAGGTAAATAAATAAACCCAATGTTTCTAAAACTTTTTTATCGATAGTGCATTGGCCGATGTAACCCACGTGTAACCAGACTGATAATAAAAATTCACATTTCAATGTAAATTGCCTTCTTACTTTATTATGCCCCTTCAATTAAGTAGTATAATACGTTCAAAGTTTGGGAATAGCTTCAGTTTACGGTCTATTTTGTATCACTTCTTTTTAGTTATGATTTTATATGTGTATAAAATTCGTTTAACATTTTTAGAGTTTACGTATAGAAATAGTAATAATAAGCGACTTTCTACACAGTGGGCACGTAGCAGTCACATAGATTACAAGTTGCAAAATAATTGATAAGTTCGTACGGTGACAAATTCCTGAGATAGACTCAAGATTTTGTTTCAGTATCGCCAGATCCCCGTGTGTACTATTCGAATCTCTTAGGCATAAAAAAGATATGTTTAAAATTACATTTTCAGATATTTTTACATTAATTAAAAGTTTCAATTGGAACAAATGAAAAAGAATGACGTTGGGACTGACACTGCCATTATTCTTTAAACTTAAAACTAAAGGACATTGGGCAAAAATGTATGGACGCTGCACCCACGTCCGCCACGGCTTAAACTACATTTGTTTGAAAGGTATTATAGTCATGATCATCTGTGCCAAAGCGCATCAAATTCTATCCCGGGAGTCTTAAGTTATTTTAAGTTAAATAGGTACAAGTACTATAACGAACGAACATTAATGAAACAAGGGAATTAATTTCGTTAGTTAATTCGACACTCACTCTCAGGCTCAGATATTATGGGAGTACTTCACAAGGTTCAAGGGTGCCCCCTTATGTTACTCTGCAGTACTAGAGTAAACCCAAAATCCCCGCATAGGTTGGGGTTTTTTCAAATATTCTGTTCAATATAGTAAATTGTCTTCATTGTAAAACGGAGCGTCCACAAATCACCCAACCTTGTCCACGCTTCGGAGAAAACATGATTCCAGTTCATCCATACTAATTGACAAAACCGATAACCGTGTTCTAATGTCCAAAGCGTGTTAGATAAAAACCAATAAAGTGACAGGGAGCGCACAATTACAACGAAGTAAGACGAGTCGACTATTTGCAAATGCAATCCTTCAACCCCCGTAAACCGTTTTGAGGTGGCTGGTGGTAAGTGCAAGCGCAGGATAGATCAGCAGACTTTGTCGTATATCTGGTTGTATAGTACGATGATTATGGCATATTATTATGGTTACTAATAATATAAAATATATATATATATATATATAAAATGAAGGTACTATAAATGACTTTATTTACCTACTTAAATATGCCCATGTGTCATATCATTTGACTACCAGGACATTTTATACGGTGTCATATCTTTCGACTCCCAGGATATTTTTTTTCGGTGTCATAATAAAAAGGGCTAGTTATTCATAGATTTATCGATTCATACTAATTACATTGTTGGCGGAGCTGGGTGCGTTTTGCCCACTGTCCTTTGACAGAAGTCTCACCATTTGTATTCTTGTCTCAATTACGCAAAGTATACTGAACGGATTTGAATAACATTTGGTGCACATATATAGTTTATGACTTGGATTGAGACATACTGTATAATACTTTTTATCCTGGAAATATGTTAGGTTCCTGTTTATCAAACAAACTAAAGTTAATGCGGGCGGCTGCTAATACCTAATATTTTATCTCAAATCGAATAAAGTCCTGCGGATCTAGTTTAAAACAGATTCAACGAATTTTATTTATTTAACGAAGTGTTCTCGTAGTTCGAACTACATTGAAACTTTGTGTTTGTTTTATTTAAAATTTTACTTGGACATTTTGTCAGTTGTCAAAAGTGCTTACCCAAAATTTATTCTAAGATCCAACAGTAGTGCCACCACATAAATGAAAAATGAGAAACAAATCTCCTTGGTGAAAAAAAATAAACACTCTAAGCGCTAAGCTATTCTTTTTTATATATATTTAAAAGATACATATATAATTGTCGAAGAGGGTTTCGATTTGAAATAAAATATCTATTTCTTGCCATCAAACAAATCCATTTAATTGTTCTGATAAAAACGATTTTTTCCTTCGTAGAGTAGTTTTATTATTCATATACCTGCCTAATTATCGTAAAATTTTCCACCTGTACATTTCTTGACACGCATACTACCAGATGTCACTTTCTGGAATGAAATTATAGATTTATGTATAAACACCTAATAAAAAAGCAGCTACCAGTATAGCTAGTTGTATTAGGCACAGTTCAAAAAACAAACATTGTTATAATCATATAACATTACAAATACTATAAACTTCCTGTCAAAATGTGCTTTAATTACCACCATCGCGGCCAATGCACTAGGAACAATAAACAAAACAAAAACGCATCCATAAAAGAGTCGACACAAATTTCAATTAGACAGAGTAATGACCCAGTATATCGTTATTAAAGTAGCATACGTACGGACGCGGGAGGCTCAAGTTGCGAGCGAGCCGGGCACACGACTGCGCGGCGGCGACAAATTTATGTGCCATGTGGTAATTAATGCCGAACAATAGGCAGGGGACTGAGACTGTATGTAGGTATAGATATCAACAAAGACATACTTAGCCTGTACAGTACTGCTATTCCGTAAGAACAAACTCACCTTTCACCTCGGAATCGGGCGACGCCGACGGTGTGATTTATAATTAAAACATGAATTTAATAAAAATTTCAAATCACACCGGCAAATTCCGCGGTGAAAAGTGAATTTGTTTTACAGAATAGCACTGCAGTTACAAAACTGTTTTGCTAGGTTTTGCTTGTACAAGATGCCTGTTTGATCAATGGCGAAAATAGCCAATTTTATGATGTCTAAGTGTTTGCAAGCCGGAATACGTCTGTTTTTATTTTCAACCGACTTCAAAAAAGGAGAGACAGAATTTTCGACTGGGTGAACCGATTTTGATGATTATTTTTTATTTGAAAGCTGGTACTTCCCGTTTGGTCCCATTTTAATTTGGTTTAGTTCTGACAATGGCATCCATGGGAATACCATACAATTCTTAAATTTGCATTAATTATGTGCGCGACAAATAAACGAATAACTAAATATCACGCCAACCGATTTTGATGATTATTTTTCGTTTGGAAGAGTTTTTTTAGCGAGATGGTCCAATATTAATTTGGTGAAGATCTAAAAAATACTTTCGGAGATAGACAACGGAATCCTCAAATACAAACAGTAAACATATCGTGTTTGGGGATTTTACGAAATTTGAAAGAGAGATCCGCGCAGGTACGACATCTACTCGAATATTAACTAAGTTGATATCGCTCTAAATATACTAGCTAATAAAAAGTGAAAAAAAAAACTTTTTAACAAAAAATTCAAACCAATTTCACTAAACAAAACCAATAAAATTAGAAATCGTGGATATTCTTTACATATCTACATTTAAAGTCAAATTAACATTTGGAGTCGGTGCCATGCCAGCCTAAGCAGTAAACGGCAACTCAGATGTACCAATATACAGCCACCGATTCCAAATGATAATTTTACTTTAAAGTAAATTGCATAATATGCATTATTTCTTACATTTCAGTTAACATAAAAAAATTTACA